AAAGTTGCAATTTTAAAACGCTACAAACACGCTCCTTTCCCACCCCTCTCACAGTTACAATTAAATTTACCTCCCAGAATCTGGGAGGCACGTGACCAGCCGCAGCCAGGGTCTCTCCCAGATGACAGAAGGAGAGATCCTGGAAACGAGGTTGCTGTTTGATCTATTTTATGCTGTTGAGCACTATCTAACATTTAGTGAATCAAAATGTAGACATTTTCAGCAAAACTGCTTACGTGATCGTGTCATTCACAGAACTTGTAAATCGTAATGACCGTAATGAACATTGTACGTCAATTTTAGGTTAAACAGACGTTAGAAGTGCTTACGTCACACAAGTTTTAATACAGAGGACTTCTGGAATGCGCAGTGCATTGTGGGATACTCGTGGGTCAATAATTTATTAAAGTTTCTGAAACGTTCTCTGATCGTAAATTTTTTATTTGAAACACAAAAACTTTATTATGAATTTATTGTTTGAAAATTACGTGACGTAAGCACTTTTGAAGGTCCATTGATTATATATTTTCATAAAAAAAATTTATTAGAGCTTAGAATATTGATTTATTCCAGGATTCAAACACACAATAAATAAATGTACATATATTTATAGATGAAACATGTACTTTAATAGTAATATGTCTTTCATGCATTGCATATACTACATATGCATATGAAATTAAATGTTCATTAATTAAATTAAATATCTTATTTTAGGCCTGATGTGTTTAATGGGTCACAAGGGGTTTAATGGGACCATCACGGGCAATATTTTTCGCTGGCAAAGGCTCTTGGGGACGACTGCAATAAATCTAGAACAATTCCAGGAAACTCGTAAGTATTCGTGATGCTATTTATTCCTGAAATTTACAACAGTTTGCTTCCAAATTAGCGAAAGATTCTTGGAGTTTACCACAATTTAAAATAACTATCACACTAGTACAGTATCATAGTCCTAAATTCATTTATATTCAGGCAAACACATGCATTCATGTGATGACATTCTAGAAAATTTACTGCTATTTATAGTAGCTTTCAGTAAGCGTGCATGGCAACGTAAATGGTGGTTAATTTCAGAACAGCTGGCACTTATTAGAACATGAGCGTAATATTATACTATGCATCTCAATTCTATTTAATTACTATGTATAAATACCTCTGATAACTGCAGGTTGACCACCATCTATTAGGTGGCGAAGGGCTCTCGGATTTTGCCAAATTTTGAAATGGTATACAAAAGTACAAAACGAGAATAAAGCAAGGTGTTATATCCGAAGAGAATTAGTCTGCGCACAGACTGTCCCTCCCCCCCCCCAAAAAACCCCCCAAACCACCCACCCCCCGTGGCAATCTCGTACCCAGAATTTAGAATTTATTCTGTGCTGTGATTGGTTTACCGTTTATCAGAAATGCATGCCGACAAAGAACCGGAACCCCTAGGGGTTCCGGTTGTTTATTTCCCCAGAGCCAATGCCTTCTTAACCCGCGCACAGGCATTGCTCTCGGTACGAGATTGCCTCCGTGGTGGAAGGAGAACAGTCTGCGACCATTTGTCATTAATGCTGTACAGTGAAGTAGTCGTATAAATAGATATAATATCATGCACTTCAGCACTTTAGTGGCTTTCTAATTTTATTATCCAATCAGGTGCGGTAATCGGTAAAACCGGTGTACTCGTCTGAATCGTCTCGAAATTAGCTAAGCAAATTTATGCAAGTATAATTTTGAAACGAACCAATCGAAACGAACCAACCGCCGATCATATTTCGCCGGTAGCTGTACAGCATTAGCGTCGAATGACAGCAGACTGTAATCCCGCGGGGGGAACGGGATGCAGTCTGCGAGCTGACTAGAAGAGAATTAACTAACCTAAAATTAAAAAAATAAAAATTGTCTTGACTATACGTTTAAAGCTGTACTTTTATTACATAACACGCATTCATGGGTGCTTGTCATCAGCTCGCTCTGCTTAGTCAACAGTCAATAATTATACTGGTCAACTCGTTAAGTGATAATATTACTGTTCTTGTATCTTTTGTACTAATGCTAATCATTAAAACAGGTCGAATAAGTTATAATAAAAATAAGAGTCATCTAGTTATCAACACCCATCATTGCAAGTATCGGTATATACTGTTCCAATCAGTTTTACACAGCAATATTGAGTTCTCAATTTTCGTATCATTCAGAAGATTGTTTATTCTTGATCCAGTGAACGCAAAAGAACATTTCCACACCAGCAGATTCTGTTTTACTTTCAAAGGAACCATGCCATTATTGTTACCACGTGGTCCTAGTGAAGTAATCTTTGACATCTGGACAATTCAAACATTTTGAAAACACACAATTTTTCTTGTTTGCATTGCGTCATTTCCTGGAGAATCATTCATTCTGTCTCTTTTCATTTGATTACTATATTATAACTGATATGTTCAATTTCCAAAAAGTATAGGTCAGTAAATACTCAATTAAACGAGGATACAATTTTATGTTAATTAAGTATCCAGATTAATATTTGTTTGTTTTGTGGAAAACACCATGCATATTTATTGTTGCAAAGCTTTTGATCCGTAAGCCCGAATCTTTAGCAGCGCTAATGAAATACGATTTGTTCCAATCATAGTTATATTAACTATGTTCCAATTCACGCCTCGTTTTTATATACTATCTATGTGTTCGTGGTATTTGAAAGTTCATTAAACTGTTGCATCAGTCACGTGATTTCATCAATGTTATTCTGATTCATCAATGTCATTCTGATTTCTGAACAACATTGATGACTGATGCGATCTAATGAGCGCTCGCGCATGCTAGACATGAGAAAACCTACTTTGCATATCAAAGAAGGTACAGCAACGTACTATCCAATGGTTTTCCCTCTTGAATTTGAATATGTATTGTTGCTTGCGAGAAAACTTAAGAGTTATGAGTTTCAGTCGCCAAAATGATTGAATTTGAAAACAAGTCGTATATTATTAGCACCGATGAAGATTCGGCTTGCGGATCGAAAGCTTAGTGCGATAATAAAAATACGTGATGTTTTGCACAAATCAAAACAAATATTATATTGTCGCCATATGTTGTCTAAACGAATTGCGCACCAGATATATTATTGCAGAGCACAGGTTTAGAAAATATGATCTTTCAATTTCTAGAAAAACGAGTTAATATAAAACCGAATTAGAGATAACTTATTATCGGTTTACTTGTACTCGTGTTGCATTCTTTTGTTTGTAGAAAACACATGCAATCATGCAGATACTTACCTTTTACTTACCCATTTCTTTTTCCCTTACGCTAGCCATTTTCCTAAGGCTTGCAACATTAAGGTTACACGACACCCTTTTTGGCGTTTTGCGGAAAATCGCTACTGCGCGCTCAATATCAGTCCGATTTTCATCAAATTTTCACCAAATGTTCTCCAGTGCATGCAAAATATGGTAAACTTGTAAAATCAATAAAAAATAAAATAATATAAGAATTATTCAGGAAAATCTTAAATCGCGGTGCCGTTACGCTTTTGAGTTGTGCTCCTGCTGGTTTTAAGTTATATTTATGAAAATATCATTTTTATACAGTGAAATAGTTGTTCTAAAAAATGTGTTCGGAAATTTTTGTTTATTTTGTCATTCCGCTGATATGGCGATTTCTTTGACGACTGCAATATATTTCTGAATTGTTTGAGTGAATTGCTCATTTTTTTTTTAAATATCCAAAATTAAAAAAAAGCCGAACACAATTTTGAAACTGACGTCTTTAGCTATGTCCTGTGAAAATTTGAGAAAAATT